GCTGAATCTGCGGGTGAAAACACGAAAGATCAAAAACAGAAAAAATAAACACAATAAATACTTGCTTGAGCGAGATAATTTACTATTCGGTTCAGTTGGATCAATTCCAAACATTGCTTGGAGCATACTTCATCCGGTGTCATCATTTTCCGTATTGTTTCTGCCAAAAACTTCCCTACTTTTTGCAAAGTAGTGAACTGTTAAAGATGTGCAGAAAAATAGAAAAAGATATTATTAATGAGTCTATACTACTTTTACAGCCTTGATAAAAACATACTTTAGGAACTTGAACCTCAAACTTCCAGCAGAAATGTTACCCATAAGAAGTCACCAAATGCAGGTTCGAGCATCCAGTGGCATCAAAAGGCACCAAATGTAACACCATCACCATCTCCACACATGGCGAATGGGGCTGAAGTTTAACAGAATCAGGCTTCTTTGGGCAATTCATGCAGTAAAGTAGTTCATGTTTGGATCTCTTTGACTTAATAAAGATAATAATAATAATAATAATAATAATAATAATAATAATAATAATAATAATAATAATAATAATAATAATAATAATAATAATAATAATAATAATAACAAACAAATAAAATTAATAAAAAAAATATATATAAAATAATAAATAATACTAATAATAATGTTAGTAATAATAGTAATAATAATGCTAATAATAATTTTAATAATAATAATACTGATAATAGTGTTAGTAACAATAGTAATAATATTAATGAATGAATGAATGAATGAATGAATCAATCAATCAATGAATCAATAAATGAATAAATATATGAACAAACAAACAAACAAACAAACAAACAAACAAACAAACAAACAAACAAAACAAACAAAACAAAACAAAACAAAACAAAACAAAACAAAACAAAACAAAACAAAACAAAACAAACAAACAAAAACAAACAAAAACAAAAACAAAAACAAAACAAAACAAAACAAAACAAAACAAAACAAAACAAAACAAAACAAAACAAAACAAAACAAAACAAAACAAAACAAAACAAAACAAAACAAACAAACAAACAAACAAACAAACAAACAAACAAACAAACAAACAAACAAACAAACAAACAAACAAACAAACAAACAAACAAACAAACAAACAAACAAATACATGAATAAATAAATAAATAAATAAATAAATAAATAAATAAATAAATAAATAAATAAATAAATAAATAAATAAATAAATAAATAAATAAATAAATAAATAAATAAATAAATAAATAAATAAATAGATACATGAATAAATATATGAATAAATAAATACATGAATAAATACATGAATAAATAAATAAATTAATAAATACATGAATAAATAAATACATGAATAAATACATGAACAAATAAATAAATCAATAAATAAATAAATAAATAAATAAATAAATAAATAAATAAATAAATAAATAAATAAATAAATAAATAAATAAATAAATAAATAAATAAATAAATAAATAAATAAATAAATAAATAAATAAATAAATAAATAAATAAATAAATAAATAAATAAATAAATAAATAAATAAATAAATAAATAAATAAATAAATAAATAAATAAATAAATAAATAAATAAATAAATAAATAAATACATGAATGAATAAATAAATAAATAAATAAATAAATAAATAAATAAATAAATAAATAAATAAATACATGAATAAATAAATAAATAAATTAATAAATACATGAATAAATAAATACATGAATAAATACATGAATAAATGAATAAATAAATGAATGAATGAATGAATGAATGAATGAATGAATGAATGAATGAATGAATGAATGAATGAATGAATGAATGAATGAATGAATGAATGAATGAATGAATGAATAAATAAATAAATAAATAAATAAATAAATAAATAAATAAATAAATAAATAAATAAATAAATAAATAAATAAATAAATAAATAAATAAATAAATAAATAAATAAATAAATAAATAAATAAATAAATAAATAAATAAATAAATAAATAAATAAATAAATAAATAAATAAATAAATAAATAAATAAATAAATAAATAAAGAAATAGATAAATAGATAAATAGATAAATCAATAAATAAATAAATAAATTAATAAATAAATAAATAAATAAATTAATAAATAAATAAATAAATAAATAAATAAATAAATAAATAAATAAATAAATAAATAAATAAATAAATAAATAAATAAATAAATAAATAAATAAGTAAAGATATATATTAAATAAATATATAAATAAATAAATAATAAAAATATAAATAAATATATAAAAATATAAATAAATATATATATATAAATATAGAAGTAATCGAGTGTATATACAGCTTTAAATAGGTGTAGACCGTGTAATGAAATTAATGTCATAAGTTTATATAGATACTAGTTATTTACACGCGCGTTGCGCGATTAACTAAATGCCCAACATATTTTTATCAAAGTATGTATATTTATATTTTGGTTTAATAATAACTATAATCATAGTCATAATCATAATCATAATTATAATAACAACAACAATAATAACAAAAGTAATAAAATAATCTTGTTCAAGATTTTTTTAATTTAATCTTGAATTGAACTTGAATTGTGAATCTTTTTTATTCATAAGTTCCGTCGTCCCTATCACTTCTTACTTAATGGTTAGGTCCTAATTTTACAATAGAGATCAAATATTAATGGGATAAGGGTCAATTTGGTCCTCGAAGTTGCAAAAAATGGGTCAAATAAGTCCTTATATAGAAGTTTCTGTCCGGACGTGCCATTTGAGGTGGCTCCCGGTGGAATTTTTTGATGAAATTTTTTGATCATTTTATTCATTAAGTCTAATTTATTCATACCAAATTTCAGATAAAAATTCAATGGGGAAGACATTCAAATGAATTCTTGAAGATAACTGTGCCGTTAAAAGCGCTGTTATCTTCAAGAATTCATTTGAATGTCTTCCCGGTTGAATTTTTAGTTGAAATTTGGTATGAGTAAACTAGACTTAATGAATAAGATGCTCAAAAAAATTTATCACAAAAATCTACCGGGAGCCACCTCAAATGACACGTCCGGACATAATCTTCTATATAAGGACTTATTTGACGCTTTTTTTGCAACTTCGAGGACCAAACTGACCCTTTACTCAAATATTAATATATGAATAATTTGGGTCGTGAGACATATTTCTTAGTCTTTATTGGCTTTAAGCTCTTTACTTTAATTTTAATTTATTTTTATATTTATCACTTCTTACTTAATGGTTAGGTCCTAATTTTACAATAGAGATCAAGTATTAATATATGAATAATTTGGGTCTTGGGACATATTTCTTAGTCTTTATTGGCTTTAAGCTCTTTACTTTAATTTTAGTTTATTTTTATATTTTATCTATTCTATAATTTAATATATAATTTTGTAATGAAGTATTGATGCTTCATTACATTGCCTGTTTTGTTAGACCCTACAAATTCTAATTTTCAATCATTGAGCTTATTTTTCTCCCTTTCTCTCTCCCTTCCAATTATCTACATCTTTTTTATTATTTTGCTTGGCAACTTCAATACTATTTGAATAATATTTTTTGTTTTTGCAAATAAATGGCAATTGCTACAATGATATGAGCGCTAATAATAATAGTAATAATAATAATAATAATAATAATAATAATAATAATAATAATAATAATAATAATAATAATAATAATAATAATAATAATAATAATAATAATAATAATAATAATAATAATAATAATAATAATAATAATAATAATAATAATAATAATAATAATAATAATAATAATAATAATAATAATAATAATAATAATAATAATAATAATAATAATAATAATAATAATAATAATAATAATAATAATAATAATAATAATAATAATAATAATAATAATAATAATAATAATAATAATAATAATAATAATAATAATAATAATAATAATAATAATAATAATAATAATAATAAACTCTATAACGGTCTGACGGAACAGAATTCACGTGCAAGGAAAATGATCTCTATATGCTAAAAATGGATGACATATATCAGATGTATCTTGCATTTCAAGAAATTCCGGGCACTCGTGACACAACTACACAAAATGGGCTGGATGCACTCAAGCGCTTTATGCTCAGACAAATCAAATTCTTTGCCTCTCATGATCTTCAGATGGCGCTTGAAACAAACATGCCGAAGACAAATCTCACAAAACCAAAGCTGTATGGACAAGAACTTGAGGACTTCCCTGAGTATTACATTTTTGATAGACCAATCACGCTTATCTATCTAAATCATAAGGGTGAGAAACGTATGCTATTCATTGATGAAATCAACAAGTACTGTGACGGAACCCTGAAGATTGTGAAGGAAAAGCTGCAACCGATCAGAGAAGCATTCAAAGAAAGACAGCAACAGTATGCAGATGCGACAGATGCCGAATTAAAGGAAGCACACAGAATAGACAGAATTCTACAAGCTATCCAGAAACAACTTGATAAAAGAAACTCACTCAGAAACTATGAGCACGCACTTAATCTCAGAAAGAACTACTACAAAGCTCAGAAGTGAAGAAACCCAGCAAGACGGCACTTGACCACAAAGGGGGAGATTGTTAGAACTTTTATTGTGGGTCAAGTTTGTCTGTAATGTCTTGTTTAAATAAAGTAGACTAGTTATACCATTTATGGTATTAGATTAGTATTTATTATGTAGCAAATAAGGTAAAGGGAATAAGGCCCAAAAAGGCCTTGGCCCAACTTCCAAGGTTTACCTAAATCGGTAACCTGTACAGCGCCTATAAATATGCGCCTTGTGTACAGGTACCAATATCGATCAATACACATTAGCCTTACGCTGCCAAATTTACTTCTCGATACTACAGAAAGAAGGTTTCACTGTTCTCGATAAAGCTTATATCATTATATGAAATCTTTCTCTTCTGTCTATCGATGATGCTCATCTAGCTGATCGTTAGTCTGCTTAACCGGGACCAACAGGTAATGAGCATCTAACAAAGTCCCAACCCCAAGACAAGAGATACCTTTTGTGATTGATGTATCCAAAATATAAAGACCAGCTGACTCATGTCCTTTACCAATAGTCTGCTTCGTTAACAGATCCTGAAACACACAATATCCAGGAAAAAATGTTACAGAACAATTAAGAGTACGCGTGATTTTACTGATGGAAAGCAGATTAAATGCAAAATTAGGAAGACTCAAAACAGGCGATAATGGTAATGTAGAAGTTGGAACAACAGTACCAGATCCAAGAACGGGTGAGGTAGATCCATCAGCTAAAGTGACACTAGAAGTAGGTAAATATGAATGGAATGACGAAAATAGACTAGGATTACCGGTCATATGATCTGTGGCACCTGAGTCAATGACCCATTTCGAGGATGACGAAACAAGACATGTGTTTGAAATACCTGAATTCGCGGCTACCGAGATAGGGACGGATGAATGCTTTAGAGATTCTTGGTAGCAAATAAATTTGGCATATTCATCCGAAGAAATAGCAACTGATCCATCAGATGAGGTGGTAGCGGAAGCAACATGAGCAATCAAATTTCCTTGATTTTTGAATGCCAACTTTCTACAATCTTTGAGCAAGTGTCCGGACTTCTTGCAGTAATTGCAAATTACTCCTCTGTCAAATTGACCTGTACGAAACATTTTTTTTCTTTTTGTTCTTTTTTTTTTTTTTGTATTTTTTTTTCTTTTTTCTTTTTTTTTTTTTTAAAAAAAAAAAAATCAAATCTGAGTTTGCGTTGACTTTTACGCAACAAAGCTATCGAGGCAGGAACAATTCAGTCGATGCCAGCGACCCAGCGACCCTTAACAGATGTGCTGATGATGTGAATAATCCGCCCCAGATCCAGCGACAACGAAACTTCAGTCGATGCCACCCAGCGAACAATTCAGTCGATGCCAGCGACCAACACCAACGCAAAACTTCGTCCCACAAATATTCCGCCCCTTTCTGAAGAAGGAATGAGAGAGAAGTAAGGTCTACCTGGTGGTACTGGTGGTAGAGGATCTCAGGCGAGTCTCAGGAAAAATTCCGATCAAATCTCCGGCCAGCAACTACAGCTACGCGTCGGCGCGTGCGGCGGCGCGTGCGGCGGCGGTGAGCACCTCCGGAGGCGAGTATGACTCACGGCCGTTGATTTGGAACTGCGGACTTTGAACACCTGGGCGTAGATGGCGGGCGCACCAGAATAGAGGTGAGATATTTGAGCTATACCAAGGTTCTCAAAGGTTCTGAATAGAGGTTCTGGTTTGTAGAGGATCTGTACTGAGTGATTTTCTAGAAGACAGAATGGTGCCTAGAGGTTCTGGAGAAAATTTCTGGGGAAAAGTTCTGGGAAGAGGTTCTGGGAATAGGTTCTGGGAATAGGTTCTGGACTGAAATCAGCTCTTGGAGAAAGGAACCCAGTCTGAAAACTACTGAGATATGAATAACTGAACTGAAATCTGAAAAGAAAAACTAAATTGAGATGGCTCTGATACCATGTTGAAATATAACACATAAACTAAGAAATAATATTGGAGAGGAAAGGATTTTCTGTATATTTCATTGAAGGGTAAGGCCCTATAAATATAGATTACAAAGATAGAATATTCCTATACAAGATGCTATACAATAATACTATATATGGTATATTCCTAATATATTCTAAAGCATATTCTAAAGTATATTTTAATATACTTTCACAGTGTCAAATAATAACACTTGCGTCGTGAAAATAAAATAAACAAAAAACTTAACAAAACTTTCTATATACACTCGTTTCAAACTTTTTATAACACTTACTCACTCACATTTGAAACTTTTGTTTAATTGATCGTACGTAATAATAAAAAACCTCACCACATCACCATAAACTAGAGGTTTCCTTTCATCCGATAAGTTTCATAACTTGGTTGAACCTAGATTAAATATCTAAAGGTTTTGCTGGAACATTTACAGGCATTTTTTACAAATTCTAAGTCCTATAAGCTACTTCAAACATAATGTCTGATCCCTTTTTAAAAATGTCCAAGCAATTAGTTATGATTGAGCCTACCTCGTTACAGTTATAGAAAATACAACACAGATTCACAGGTAAATTGAAAAAAGCACACCTAATTTAGGGATGACAAAATACCTATCGACCAACACAATCAATGAATATATGATACATTATCATAAAAATAAAAAGTCAATCACAACACTCACCTCGGTCTGATAAGCCCACACTTAAATCCGCCTTCATAGTGCTCCTCATATGGATTTGTGACCTATGTAAAACAAAACACAACCAAAAATAATTTTAAACATACTGTCGAATGATGACACTTACGCCGTGAAAATAAAATAAACAGTAAAGTTAGCAAAACTTTCTATATATACTGGTTTTGAATCTCCCGATCCATGTTCGTAAAAAGAACCTGATAATATTCCTCCCTAACCTACACAATTTTATTGTTCAATCTAGATTTGTCCAAGTTATAAAATTTACCAGGCAAAATAAAACCTATAGTTTTATGGTATCCAGTGAATTTGATCTTCATCTCGTAATGAAGATCAAACTCACTGGATACCATAAAACTATAGGTTTTATTTTGCCTGGTAAATTTTATAACTTGGACAAATCTAGATTGAACAATAAAATTGTGTAGGTTAGGGAGGAATATTATCAGGTTCTTTTTACGAACACAAAGAGTCCTACAGACGGCTTTTAACTTAACGTTCGATCCCATTTTAAAAAGGTCAAAACAATTTGGTGAAATTGAGCCTGCCTCATTATGTAAATAAAAACAACCTCGGAAATAATTTTAAACATACTCTCAAATAATAACACATGTCGTGAAAATAAACAATTAACTTAGCAAAACTTTCTATATAAACTGGTTTTAATCCCTACCGACACTAGGCCACCATTATTTACTCACATTTGAAACATAATCTATTCTTGTTTAATTGATCATCCTGTAATAAAAACCAATAAATATAGAAAAACTTAATCTATAAATTTCATAATTCTGTTGAACCTGGACAACTTGTATGCTTCATTCAAGATCATCTTGGAATAAAAGTTGGTTTAGCCTTTTGGCTTTGGGCAACGGTATTTATTTATCGTTGATTACCTGGGTAACGGTTCACTCCGTTGATTTTATTTTTTTCTGTCCACAACAATTGGTCCGACCTGCCGGATCCCGTCCCGCCAAGATGACAAGAACGCAGAATGAACGTTTTACAGAATTGGAGACCGAACAAACCCTAATTAAACAGCAGCTTGAGGCGCAGGGCCTGAAACTTGATGCACAGGGAATAAAACAAGATGCGCAGGGACTGATGCTGGAGAAACACGGCGCTCAGCTCGCGGAAATTGCGGCTTCGCTGGTGGTGATCGCGAAAGCCATGGCCTCGCTGGAGAAAATTCCGACCGCGAGCCCTGACAGTGACTCCACCGTTCATGGCACACTGGTGACCGGAGTTGCAGGCAGTCTGTGCAGCACGACTTCCACCTTGCTGCCCTCGTTCGATGGCGAAGACCCCATCGGGTGGTTGGCAAGAGCCGAGCAACAATTTGAACTCAACGAAACCCTACCGGGCAGGAAAGTGGCCGCAGCTACAGTGGCTATGGAAGGGGCTGCCCTATATTGGGTAACTTGGTTGAAGGGGCGCAAACCTAACATGTCCTGGGAAGAATTCAAGCAAGCCTTGGTGGCTAGATTTGATTCCCGATATCAGGGAAACAGATTTGAACGGCTGTCCGGCGTCAAACAAATTGGGCAAATGGAAGATTACAATACTTTGTTTGTACAACTGGCTAGTCAAGTACCCGGATTAACTGACGATCATTACTTGGGCTATTACATGAGTGGGCTTAAGGAAACAATCCGAAGTTCGTTGCGATTACTTCGGCCAGAAAACCTGGAAACAGCTATGGAATTAGCTCGCGATATAGAGCATAATCTGTCCATCCAAAGTGGAGAAAGTGGCAGCCTGAATTATCATTCTTCAGGGGTACGTTCCAGCAGTTTTGTAAGGGCAAACACGGGTCCCCCGTTGACTGCCACTGGTGGCAGCTTACAGGGCTCAGGGGGCAGCTTTGCGAAAGATAGTGGACAGCCTCCGGGGACGAGGTCAGGCCTGTTTGGGCAGCCTACGACACGATCTCAGTTCACCCGTCTTGCGCCAAAAGAGTTAGCAGATTTGAGGGCAAAAGGATTATGCTTTAGGTGCAAGAAACCATTTACGCCGGGGCATGATTGTCCTTTTAAGCAGCTGCGGGTAATGATAGCCGAGGAGGATGAAGAGTTGGACCTCAAGCAGCATGACTTCTGTGAAATTTCTGGCGAAGAATATTTTCCAGTCTATACTATGTCTGGAAATTTCAGTTCCCAATCCGCGAGTTTTCAACCTTGTGGACAAGGTTAATTTGAAGGAGGATGGATTCATATGAAGCGGGAAGAGCATGGGGCGGGACCGGGCTTGGGCCCACTTCCGTGGGCCGGTTACGGGCTTGAGCCCACCTCCGTGGGCTGGTTGCGGGCTGTTTAATTAATATTTATTATTCCTTTATTTTGTTTCCTAATTTATTTTGTTTCCTAGTATAATTTAATTAGGACTACTAGTCTTATTAGAATTAGAGGTTTCCTATTTCTATTTAGTTTCCTAGAATGATTTAATTAGGACTTCTATTAGAACTAGAGGTTTCTTATTCTACTTAGTTTCCTATTATGATTTAATTAATTAGGATTCCTAATCTTATTAGACTTAGAGGGTTATTTATACCCCCTTGTATGCTTCATTCAAGATCATCTTGGAATAAAAGTTGGTTTAGCCTTTTGGCTTTGGGCAACGGTATTTATTTATCGTTGATTACCTGGGCAACGGTTCACTCCGTTGATTTTATTTTTTTCTGTCCACAACAAAAAATGTCAAAGCAATTAGTTATAATTGAGCCTCCCCTCATCATAGTTATAACCTTATCATTAAGCCACCTTTAACTGAAAATAGCACACCTCATTTTGTGATGAGAAAGAAAAGCACATAACTAATGCTAACGATTAATCTGTGATCAATTATGATACATATAAAAACTGAAAAGCACAACACTCACTTTAGTCCAATAAGACAACTCTTAAATCAATCCGACGTGTGCTTATCATACGCATCCACAACCTATGTAAATTAAAGCATAACCCAAAATAATATTAAACACAATCCCAAATTATCAAACTAACGCTGCGAAAAATAAACAACTGGTATGCTTTACAAGCATTCGTAGATAAAATGGCTTCAACATCTCCCGAATGTGGCCCATCCTTACTCATTTACATTGAGCGCTTAAACTTAAGTGATTACCCCGTTCAACAGTTGAAAACATAATTGATTATCATGTTCGAATATTGAAAACTGAAAAAAGGACAACTAATTTCGTGCTACACGAAATACATAACCCACAAAAATTTGTGTTTGATGATTATAAAAAGATTAAAGCACAACACTAACCTCAATCCAATAAATCCATTCTTAAAACCACCTTCATAATGCCCATCATATGCCTCCGTGACCTATGTAAACCAAAACACAATTGGAAATAATATTACACACAATAAAACTATCAAACTTACACTGAGAAAATAAAGCATACAATAAACATAACGAATAGTTCTATATAAAACTGGTTCCTAACTGTTTTGACGCTACGCTATTCTTAATCACTCATATAACTTCAGTTTACAAACAATTTTCTTAGCACTTAGCACTCTTAAACTGTATGTTAGTAGTTTGCACTCATAAGTACTTTATTATATTATAAAGTTGATGAGGATGGTATGCCATTGCTATCAAATTCAGACCAAGATGATGAGTATGCCATAACCATCAAACAAAAGCAAGCTAACAAGCCTAAATTATAACATATTTTGCAAGACATGAAACTGTTTTTTTTAATATTATCTTTTTGGAAGTACTTTAAACTATTTTAGCTTCACATGGTTTGCTTAGAATGTTGTTATTCTAGTTTTTTATCATGTTTTGATGGTTGGGTTGATGAATTGCAGTGTCTATCATTCATTTTGAAGTTTTTTTTGTCACGTGGCGACCTCATATTTGCGCCATCGCCATCGCTATGGGAAATGGCTTGTGCGCCATGGATTGCGCCATGCGCCATGACAACTATGCTCCCAAGACAATTATGCGCCATAAACTGCGCTTAAACTTAATTGATTACCAAGTTCAAAAATCAAAGGCCACCAAATTTCATGCTACACGAAATACATAACCCACATAAATTTGTGATTACTGATTATAAAAAAAATGTTGACTTGGGGACGACCTTTTCAGGATATTTTTACTAACTCAAATAAACGTATCACCAAATATTAATTTAATGTTTGATCCCGTTTTAAAGAAGTCAAAGCAATTTTTTATAGTTGAGCCTCCCTCATTATAGTTAAAACCTTATCATCAAACCACCTAACTGAAAATAGCACAACTAATTTTTTGAGGAGAAAAATACATAACTAATGCTAACAATCAATCTGATCAAATATGATACAAATAAAAACGTAAAGTACAACACTCACCTTAGCACAATAAGACAACTCATAAATCCATTTGCCCTGTGCTCATTATACACCTACGAAACCTCTGTAAACCAAAGCATAACCCAAATTAATATTAAACACACTCCCAATAAATCAAACTTGCACTACGA